TTTTTTGTTTTCTATTCTAGGGTAGGACTACAGGGTTCTTCAGTTTTACACCCTACTCTAACTCGTTAGGGAAAGCTGCTCGCACAGTTACATCCAGAAGATCACAAAAGGTGTAACTAACCCGAGAGTGGGAAGACTTTTCCCTCTTTACTACAACAAAGATGAGAGTCTGCACCATCTGGCCCGGGAGTGGTTACCGTCGCGGATGCTCCAGGCCTCGGGGGAAGCCGGCTCCCTCGCGGGTACCGGTCCCCGCAGCCCCCAGGCCCCTCGCCCGGTCCACCTCGCTGAGTGACGACCACCGGGGTCCTCGCCTCTGCAGCCATCGGGCAGGCAGTGGACGCGCCGCCGGGCAGTAGGCGCACATTGTGACCTCCAGGGGCCCGGGCGCGCACGGCGCCGCTCACACCTGCCTCGGGAGGCGGCGCACCCGGCACATCCGGCGCGTCGAGACTTGGAAAGCCCAAGGGACCGGGGACCTGGGGAGGGAAACTCCAACTCCGTCCCACTCAGAACCCGACCGCTCCGCAGCGGCGGGCGGCCGGCCGGCCGGCCCTCGGGGGCCCGTGCACCACCACTCCCCGCCTGTGCCCGCTTACCGGCCCCGCCGAGCCCCGCCGGCCGCACCGAGTCCCGCCGCCCGGCTAGCGCAGCACCGCAGGCTTCGGTTAGCGTCCCGCAGCTCGCGCAAGCGCACGGCCCGCAAAAAGTCCCGGTTGCCGTTAACCGCCCAGCCGACAAGGTTTAAACCCGGGGCGAGCGGCCCCGCCCTCCTCCTTCCTATTGGCCCAGAGGGAGAACGTCCTCCATGTCTACATCCTGATTGGTACATGGTTTCCCTTGGCCCTCCCCCACAGGCGGGAGGAAGCCCGGGACTTGGGGCGTGGATTTGGGGAGGTCCGCACCCCGCCGGGCTCGAGCGCGACGCCCGGAACCGTTGTGGCGTCGCCTTCAGGCGTCTCGGAAGGGGAGGGGGACTGCCTAGCCTCGGTTAATAGCAAAGTAGCCGGGTTTGGGGAGAGGCGGTCTTCCGTCCACCTCGCGAGATCCGTCTCCGCCGTTGCCTGTTCCGCGCGGCCGCGGAGTCGGAGGCGTCGGGAAGGGAGATGGCTTGAAGCCCCGGATCCCTCCTCTTCCTGCCTGACAGTCCATCGGGGTCCGATACGCGCAGGTTCCGGGCAAGTCCGGACGCGCATCCGCGCATTGAGTCCTTCCCGTGGTTCACGAGGTTCTTGCCAACGTGACTCTAACGGCTCCGGCCTATCCGACTTCCTTGCTGGAAGGAGCTCTCGCTTGCGGTTTTCCTCCGGAATGCTCCCGTCTACTCCCTTCACATAGTCTTACCCTTCCAGTTGTTTTGTTTTGTTTACGTACCTGCGGGGAAAGGTGTAGTGCTTTGGGAATTGCTGAGGGTTAAGACCTAGAAAAGAGACAGTCGAAATCTTCACAACTCAATATCCTAGTCACGCCCTGCCCCTTAACCAGCTTGTCCCCCAAGTCCTGAACGTTCTTGTACCCCGCCTCACACAAACAGGCAGGTGCTGGTTGACAAGTTTACACTATCTGTTAAATTCAAGATTCAATGACAGGGAGAAAAGAATGTCTAACCTTTTCCTCCAAAGTTAATGCTACCTCCTACTCTTACCCTTCGTCTTAGGGTCTTTGCACTGCCTTCAAGGCGCTTTGGATTTGTTGGGGGAATGAAAAAGGGAATAAACATAGAAGAAGACGGCGGAAGTAGTTTGTGAAGATTTGAACGACTGTACCCTTAGATCTCCAATGTCTTAACACGACTTCAGTGCACAGTCTTGTTTTTTTCTCATGAAAAAATGTCCCATGTTTAGGTTTGGTCATCTTACAACTGCGGGTCTTTTTTTTTTTACTGTTACGGACTCTCCAATCTGTCTTAGAAACAAGTGGGAAGTCAATTTTTTTACCTGCTGCTTTGAGCATTCAACATACATCTCTCATGCATTAGTTTCTTGTTACCTTTTATGTTAAAATTTTATCTTTGAAACCCTTTAATCAACAACTTGAACGATCTATCTCCTATCGTATTTCATATTTCAAGAAATTCATGGTTACCAGATGGCTGGAAAAGGAAATGGATTGCTCACCCGTATACTTGTGTGGCTGTATATTTGACGTGTCTGTGGAAGGATGGATATTCAGAAGCTCCTGTGTTGTCATCTTGGTGATGTCACTGACCTCTAATTTTTTTCTTCTGCAATGTCTAATCGGTAGATAATTTTTTAAATTTTTTCTTCTTTTAATTTTTAATCAGTAGTTAATTTTATCTTGTGTATTTTTCATCTCAGATATTTTTTTCATCTTTAGAAGTTTGATCTGGGTCTTTTTAATATCATCAGTGTCTCTACTTAACATGCCCAATTATCCTCTAACTTCTTGAACATACTGAATGCAGTTACAACTTTTTTTTTTTATGAGGGGGAGGTAGGTAGGTTTATTTACTTCTTTCTACTGGGGATTGAACCCAGGACCTCGTGCATGCTAAGCATGTACTCTACCACTTGAGCTCTACCCTCCTCACAATTGTAACTGTTTTAATGTCATGGTCCACTAATTTTATCACCTGTGTAATTTTGGGGTTTTGATTGATTGATTGACTGACATTTCTCCTCATTAAGGCTTACATTTTCCTGCTTATTCACATGCCTGCTCAGTTTTGACTTGAGGCCAGATATTTTCAGTTTTACCTTGTTGGATGATAGATATTTTTGGATTACTATAAACATTCCTGAGGTTTATTCTGGCACATGATTAAATTATTTGGAAACCCTTTAATCCTTTCAGATCTTGTTTTTAGACGTTAGACAGAACCAGAGCACACTGAGGTAACTCTCACCACACAGGTAATTGCCTCTTGATCCTGAGGTAGAATCCTTCTAAGTGTTCTACTTGCTGTCCCATCAGAGAGGAAGTCTTCCAGTCTGGCTCGTGGGAACGAACACTGTGCTTCTGGGCACTGCCTCCTCTTGCTCTGTACAATTTCCTCCCGTATGTGTGCTGATCAGTGTTCAGCTGAACACCTGACAGGGATCCTCTCCAGGTCTTGGAGTTCGCTCTCTCACACTCCCTCCTCTCTGGTTCTCTCCTCTGTAACCTCCAGCCATCTCGGTCTCCCCAGACTGTGCCCCCTTCACTCAAGGGGTTCTGGGTCTGTAAACTGGCTCTAGTCTATGAACTAATTGAGAGGCCGTGACTTTCTGTTCTTATGATTCAATTTAGACTTCTGTTCATTCAATGTAGAACTATCCTGCTTGTATAGATCAAGTAAAATTTATTAGGCTTCCCATTTGTTTCACTTCTAGGAACATTACAATTAACTAGCCACTGCCATAGGTCTGCATGAGTCAAACTATTCTGATTACTGCTTGGCTCTGCTGTCTGTTACCTGGTCCGTGTTGCTTTTGGTGTTTGGGTTCCATCACCTGCACATACATTTAGTGAGCGTAGGAACCATGACTATCATATTTATCATTGTTTTCCCAGCTCCTACGACAGTGCCTGGTACCTAGAGATGGGATCAGTGAATATTTGCTGTATGAATGAAAGCCTCGAGGCAATGCCTCTGCCTTTCTGAAACGAACCGGCAAGGAGAGCAGCCTCATCCTGTGGCAACCACAGCATCATCCAGCAGGGGGTGTTGCCTGCGAGAGAAGGTGTTTCAGAGGGACCAGGTCTGCGGGAGGGTCTCCGCTCTGCTGGTGGAAGAGGCTTTCTGTTCCAGTTGACAGCTTTCTCAGAGGAATTGAACTCCCCACATTGTAATCGCACTGTAAACTGATTATCTCGAAATGGGTGATTGGAGGGTGGGCAGGTATGTGTGAAGGCGCTGGGCAAGAACATCGACTTCTTTTTACATTCCTGTATTATTTAAAATTTTAACAGCCATATATTACTTTTTAATTAGAAAATTAAACAGAAGTTAGTATCTGCTTAAAAAGAAGAAATTGAATTTGGTTGGGAAATAATGATGCTGCATGATTCACTTCTGTACATAGTTTTCAATGGTCCCAAAAGATTTGGCTTCAGGCATACAGTATTTCTTTGAGCAGAGGCAGACGGAGTCAGACTGCTTTCTTTATTTGCTCTTCTCTTGCTTTTCTTTCTAACCTAAGAATTTTCTGTGCCACTATAGCTTCATTTTCTTTTGGTTTTAAAGTGAGGCCAAATACTCATTCCAGGGCTGCTAAGGGTGTCATCAGTCGCTTTGAAATTGTAACAGTGTCTGGTCCAGGTCCAAAGGCGCTCTCTCACTATATGGCTGACCCTCTGCCTCAGGGCTGACCACGCTCCACACTTCAGTGGCCTGACCCAGCAGCAATTCAGACAACTCTTTGGATCTGTACTTCTTGTAAACCCCTCCTTAGAGGGCTTCTCTTGCACGTTTGTCTGAGATAAAAGGGGATTTATATTATCATACTTATTTCTATATTAGTTAAATGCAGTAGTTGATAATTCACATTAGTTTTAGCTCTGTGAAAACCCTTGTTCAGTTTGATCTTTGGCACTTTCTAGAATTCTTTGGCTGTGGCTCTCAATATGCTAATACAGTCACAAGCATCTAATGGACATTTTCTTGTAGTAGACACTATTCTAAACCAGTTAGACGCATCATCACATTTCATTGTCACAAAATACCTATGAAGTTAGTATAACTAACTTTTTAAAATTAGCTTAATTATTACTATGAGTATATTACTAAAATTATATGAAAATTAGTCTAATTATTTTTTAATAAATAAGGAAAGGCAGGAGCAGAGAAGCTGCCACACCTTGGGTGTGGTCGCATCATTAGTAAGCGGCGTATCTGGGGTTTGAAGCCAGGTAGTCTAAAGCACAGTGCTCAGCTGATAAGATGCTGCTGTCATTGTTTGGGGTTCAGTGGAGGACAAAAGTGGGAGGGCCACACTTCTCTCTCATTTATTCCTAGTCACACCACAATAAATGGTTGTATGAAAGTTTGAATCTTTAGAGTATTAACGATGTTTGAGAATGACTCGTTTAACAAGAGAAATAAAAATTTTAAACTATACACAAAATATGCCTATTTCCATGATATGAGGGACAGAAAACAAACACAAAAACCAAAGGAAACCCATCACAGGTGGTACCCTCATGGACACAACCTGGCTATGGTTGTTTACCTTCAGGATCATGCCTGTTTCTTAAATCCTCCATGGTATAAATCCGCACTATCCTTTAGAAAAGGTACCCTCAGGTGCCCTACTGCATGCTCTCAGGACCAGACCTACTTTCTGACCCCCAGTGTATATTCTGACATACAGTAATTCACAGACACTTTCACCCAAAGGGAATTAGGCAGACATAGGGATTATATTTAATGAAAAGATCCTCTATGACCTAGAGGAGAACAGTGGGAACAACTGTGGTCCTAAGGTCTTCACCACTGGCGTGCCATTCAAAAGGGGTTTGAGTCTTGGTACCCATGAAGGAGCCCTGGCTGCTGCTGCTGTACCAGTTTCCTCCCCTTTACGATCACTTGTCAGCATGAGCTGTGCATGTCCTCCTATCTTTCTGGCCATTCAACAGGAAAACAATGGTATTCATGCACCTGCGTACACACACACGTACACACTCACGTGTGTACACGGGCACACACATACACAAGCTGACTGCTCTCTGAAAAATTGATTCTCAGAGACAGCACCGTCAGTTTAGTTCATCATCAGGAAAGGAAATATTCCCCTAACTGTAATATGCCAACCCTAAGAAGGGTATTTCGTCTTATTATGCAGAATGAGAAAGGGCCCTTTGTTTATTTGCCTTCCAAACCATGTATGGCCTCAGATGCAGAGAAAAATGGGGCTCTAGATCACGTCTTCTTCAAGCCATGGAGTCTCCAGTGCCTAACTGCCAGCCAATGGTTGCACAAAGACCTGTCTGAAGTTCTGAAATTGCTGTTTTTTGAGCCACATTTTAAGGCTGACTGTTCCTCACTATTCTCTTTGAGGGAAGGGAGGCAGCAAGATGGTTCGTTACTGTCACAAATCAGAAAGGTAGCTCTTCCAGGTACATAAGCATTTGTGACTCACAGCACAATGTTTATCAGACCATCCCACCTTTCTTACGTAACCAAAATCTTCCAAGACGGTTGCTTTACATTTACAGAACTTGACTAAGTGAAGAGTAAACAGTTTGATTCTTAAATAGCCTCTGTGACCCAGGGTATAACCTGCTGTATGTAATCACAGGAACAATCTGTGGTCCAGAAGTCCTCCTCCTCGGCTGCCAGGGAAACAGAGGAGAAAAAAGTGATCACTAAGCTCACCCCTGCAGCACCCTGGTTTCAGCGGGAAGAGGCACCTTATTATCAGGAGAGCACAGGCAACGAGACAAAGCAAAGAACGCAGCCGCATCAGTAAGTGAGGCCCAACAGGGCACCATTACAGATGTCTTAATCACAGCATTTAATAATTGTGGCCTTTTGTGATCGGTCATTCTCTGACTCTGAGGCTCTTTTTCAGCCACTTATTGTGGGAAGAGTTGAAGAGTTGGATCTTTACCTTTCCCAAGATCAGGGATATGAGTGAACTCAGGGTCAGGTCTTCAGAAAAGCCAATGGAGACCAGCAGAACTGGCTCAGCATGCAACACCTTGGACGTTGCGCCTGACTCTGAGCTTGCTCTGGTAATAGAGTCTTCCAGTAATCTTGAACCAGCTCCGTTATGGACACTCCTGGAGGAAAACTACCTGTGGCTAGGCATTTCACATCTAGAAAGGCACCTGGAGATTCCCAGAAAATTCCAAAGAGAAGGGAGGTCTGGAGATGGAGGAAGAGATACAAGGAAATCATCCCCAGAACACTTCAGCTGAGCTCCTTTCAGGGCGCTACACAGTCCTGTGGACATTTTTTAGTCCTTGGCTATTCTGAGTTGTAGAGCTCCAGATGTCACCCAGCTTCAGGGATTCAGAGATTAGTTCATTTCCTTGCTGCTCAATCATCTGAGAGAAACCAGTCTGTTCGGAACCTGAGTCCCCGACTTGAAAGGTCATTCTAAGAGAATCTGTTCTTTATCTTCCTGCCCGCTCCAACACACAAGACAAACGTAAGCCTTCGTGACAGTTAACCTTTAGCTGATCATTCCTGTAGCCACCCCACTGCCAAGTTCTTCTCCTTGCCAAGCAAGATTCTCCACCGTAGCCACTGACCCATGGCCCTCTTTGGACAGGCGACCAGCAGGACAGACTTTGCGGACTGAAGCGTCTGACACCTACTCTGGCTAGCAGGACTGTCGGCTCTGAGCATCTCCAGAACCAAAATATTTCAAACTCTCACCTCTGTTATGTCATTGTGCCATGGCATTGGGGAGCACAAATGACAGAGCATTCAGTTCACTTTTGCCTGGGGGAATAAAAATAATGAATACCACACAGTTATGTTGCCCAGTGGTGGGTTCACCACCTTTCCCCAGTACAAATTTATAAGAAATTGACTTTTTCAAGGGGTTTACCAGGGGACCAGCTCCTGAATTTGCTGCCAATTCTGGGTCTCACATTCTAGGAGGGATAGTGAGGGGCAGTAATAAGCGTGCAAATTCCACAACAACTCAGAATATCACATACATCATGTCAGCTATGATAGTCTTTATTAACATGAACATGTAGTATACGTGCAGAAATAATATTATATGGAGATATGGCAAAATATTCATATTGTTTTTCTCAGATTCAGGGGCACAAAGGGAATTTTATTTACTTAATAAGTTTGATATAGTTCCAAAATTTTGTGACTTGCACTCAGAATAACGTTCAAAGTTGTCTGAACAAACAGGAGAAAGACATGGGTTGCATGGGTTTGGGATCAATGCCCAGACTGTAATATGCCTTAAATGTACATCTTGACAGGCCCAGAAGTGGCTAGGTGTGAGCTGTGAATGTCACAGAGGCAGGAGATCCTTTATCTGCTGTTTCCTGCTAACACTGTACATGGATATATTTCGTAAAGGTCCAAGAAAATCTTGACTGTGTATGAAGTGGACGCTGTCCACTGGGGAAAATAATTTTTTGCCCATAGAGATAAACCTTGAGTATCCACCATTTACTTTGTGGCTATTTCTACTTAATTACAGCAATGATAAATGGGGAGTTTGAGATAAAAATATTTTGGGAATTTTCAGCTGAAATATTTCTAGTTCAGCTCAACTATCTAAGCTAAACACAAGGATCTATTTTGGTCTTGTTTTACATTTTTCTCCAGGGCTGCTTGAAGTAGGTAAATACCAGTCCCCACACCGGGAGAAACATGTTGTTCAAAAGCATCCTCTGACTGTGGTACAAACCAAGCTGGAGGCAATGGGAAGGGTAACACTGAATTACAGACAGCCAGGGGACGAAAGCAAAGGCAGGCAGAGTGTTAAGGCAGAGAAACATCCATAACATCTTAGAATGAGATCTCAGAAGAAAGCATGTGCTAGACTTTTGAAGTTACAGTAATTGTGGTTGCAGCACTTATGAACATAAGTTCGACTGTTGATCTTGTATGTCAAGTCTCTGCAGAATTTCTGACACACCATGTATGCTAACTGGAAAATGTCATCTGTAATGAGAAAGCATCATAGAAAATAAGCCAGTGATGGGGGGAGGGTATAGCTCAAGTGGCAGAGTGCTTGCTTAGCATGCATGAGGTCCTGGGTTCAATCCCCAGTACCTCCTCTAATAACAAATAAACCTAGTTCCCCCCACCGACCCTGCACACACGCAAAGAAAGAGAGAAAATAAGCCAGTGATCTAAGTTTTCTAAAGGCAAGTCAAACCTTGCACTAGTCCTGAAGGTAAAAATTTAATTAGGTATCAGGATAGGTTTAGAGATGGCTTCCTGTCTTATACTTCCCAAGAGGACCCAAGCAGGGAGACGTAGAAATCACGGGTCCCCTGCAGGCGTTATGCGTTTAAGCCCCCTGGCACCCTCCAGCTCTCTGTACAGATGCTTCTTCCTCCTGTCTCATCTTCCCAAGTCCCCTTCTGCCGATGCCCAGGGACACCCTGCACTTGGCTTCCTTTCTTGCACTGGCCTTAGTCTGGGGTAGAAAACTGTTGAAGTACTCTCCCAAGAACTTTCTAGGAATCTCACAGCGCCTCCCCTGATCCTCCAACTTACCCTGGAGGATCTTTAAGAGCAAGCAGGTCTCATACTTCTTGGCAACACAGATTCCAAAGCCTCTTCTACAGCGATCCATCTCTGTGCGGAGGTGGCACGTTACACATTTCAGGGGCGCCGCTGCTGGAGAGCACAGAGCTGGTGTAAGGGCAGGGGAGGTGGGGACTTAGATGAAATTGGACAGACCTAGACACGGTGGAGGGCAGTGCAGCGGGGTGGATGGAGAGCTGGTGGTCAGGATCAGGTAGGAGGCAGCTGGAGCTCTCATTAACGCCACATCCTAGAGAAAAGCCCTTGTAAGAGTAAAAGGATTCAGGTCCCAACTTCAGCTCTTTTAACCTGGTAACTGAGCAAAGATTTAGCACTGGTTTTTTCAGCTTAAAAATGGTTCTATTAATGCTGGCCTGGCATAAAAAAGCGACATGAGGCTGAGTGCTTTAAACTGTTTTACCCACGTAAGTGTTACTATGATGGAATTCCTGACATTTGCAGCTTAAATGTTGTTACGTGATATACTCTGTTTTGAACTTCAAATTGAATCTGTGGTGTAATCATGAATTACATCGCAGTCAGTGCCGCTTTATGCAGTACTGTGGGGTGAGCCAATCAAAATACAGATTTAATTTTTTAAAAAACCTCTCCTTGGTGCACCTGCATGAGAAAAGAAAGTAACATTTATTGAGCATCTCCTTTGGGCCATGTTCTCTTACTCTGTATCTGATTTAATCCTCACAAAAGCCTTGTAAGTAGGTTGTTTCTCCCATTTCTCTAATGAGCAACTGGAGATACAGAGAATTTAAGACAGTGACTGAATCATTTTTTAATCTGTCTGATTTCAGTGCATCCAATATTTTCTCTCCTACAACCACTTGTTTTAACACAAAAATCCCTGAAAAAGGTATCAAAAGGCCCTGTCTGGCATTAAAACCAATTACAAAATTATTCATTGTAGACTGACCAGCTCCCTCAGCAAATGGATAACAGCTTTATAAATGGAAGGGATGTCCTAAGGGAAATCTTACTAGGATTTCGGATTATGGGGAATTAGAGGGACAGAGTGGGGAAGCAGTGTGAAGGGACAGCCATAGAGGCTCAAGCCCTTGATGGGGAATGGCAGAATGTTGAAAAGGTCAGAAAGGTGGCATAGAGACCCGGGGGCATTCTGAAGGCTGGCTTCCCTTCCATGTAAGTGTGGTCAGCCTTGCATGGACACCAGCTACACATATGGATCTTCCTGGGGGCTCTCAAGACCCTGCCTCTGGAGCCCATTCCTCACATCTGTGACTCACCCACAGTGCAGCAGAAGACAGATAAGAGCAACAAGAGGTGTTTGTCCATCCTGACCGAGAAGTCCCCTGTCCAGGAAGAAAAGAAGCCAAAGGCTGCAATCACAACAGGTCTTCAGGCTTCAAGAGGAAACCGTCCTTTTCATCATAGGGCAGGGATTATTCATGCTTAAGGGGCGCCAATCACACGAGGTTTCCTCTGGGAGCTCAAGTTCATGCTCTCTCCACCCCACAGCAGAGAATAATGGTAACCAATAAACGCTGGCGTTTACATGAAGTTAATTTTTTAAAATATAATATTTATCATAGCAACTATTATGAATATAATCATGATATGATCATTCTTATCTCAACTTCCCAGAGAAGGAAAATGAGGATTGGTGAGGTCCAATATCTTACTCAAGATCACATTTCTAGTGACCTACAGCACCAGTACTCAAAGCAAGACTTTCTAATTCTAGAAGCCATCCTTTTAACCACCTTGATGGAATGCCTCTTGGAGATTTATTCATATATTCAACATATATTTATTGAGAGCTTTTATGTGCCAGTCACAGTTTCATGTGTGAAAGTGGAGCAATGAATAAGTCAAAGAAGTTCATCTAGCTCCACATCTTATGGCTGAGAAAAAGAATGAGAGATGAAAAGACGTGTAATCTATCACCAAGCGGGCCTTCCCCCGACAACTTCTGATTCTCAGTCCAGAATTCTTTCTCTTTATCAGAAATCTGTTCTCCAAGGCCAGGGACTGTTTCCTTTGTAGGGTTGTGAAATCATCTCTAGAACTATCACACAACTTGATCTTTAGCAAGTTTATGTTGTTCATCTGGCCAATTTTGCCTATGATTTAGGTATCCATTTCCACAAAAGTTAACTCAGGTAAGGCTCAGCGTGGGTAAACCACTGGAAAATGATGACCAGTTCTGGCACTCAAGTCTCTGAAACCCATCAGTGGGTTTATGGTATTTCGACCGGAGAGAATAGCAATCTTCTGTTATGAACAAATCATTAAGCGACATGTTCTTCAGTTGTAGGAACAATACATTCTGACATTTAGATACTAGATAAAGATGGGGTGAAATAAAGTCTTAGTTCAAATGCCGCAAACATGAGGGGATTTGCTTCTTGCAAAAGAATTGATTCTAGAGAGGAAATCAAGCTTGTAAAGTCCTTGAATCTCATTTTCTATTCTTCCATCTTTCAGGAGAGGATGTTAGAAACTGGCTGGCATTTTTCAGGACTTTCCAAAGGCTTATAAATAGGGCAAATGTCTGAGCCTTTATTTGTCACCTGTTGGTTGCTTTTTTTTTTCCTGCTTTATTCCTTTAAAGAGAGTGACTGTAGAATCATAGTGAAGAAAGCAGAAATTCTAGGTTAAATTGCAATGGGTTTGCACCGTTTCTGTTCTTCTTCCTTCAAGGTTCCCACTGGCAGGTATTTTCTGAAAGCTGAGTTTTGAATCTCTTTTCTACTGGATTATTTCCAGAGAGGATTGTGGAATTTTGCCACTCCACCCAAGCATTGGGTTCTCTGATCTATTCCTCATCCTCCCATAGTAACTCATCCATCAAATTCTCTCTTGAAAACAGTGCCTTTCATCATTTAGCAGGAAAGAGAGGAGAGGTACTAGCACCTGTTAGTAGAGGCAGTGGAATATAATGGAAAGAGCAATTTCCTGGGAGTCTGGAGATTCAGGGTTGATTGGTTTGTAACTCATGCTGTCTTTAGCAAGCCCTTTATCTGTGATGTTAGATTTTGACCATTTTTAGGTCCTTTACACTTTAACAGTCTATGGTTCCATGATGTAAATCATGAGGCTAGGTACCCAGTTCTGTTATACTGGCCTAGCTCTCTGCTTGGCACATGGTGATGTGCTGAACATACGATGGCTGAATGAAGGAGTGAATGAATAGAACTGTAAATCTCACAGGAGACCACTATCCATGGTCCCACGGCCCCCAAACTAATGCACCCCAGGCCAAGTTTACCTACACACCACAGATGTCATCTGCCCTGCTCTTAGGAGAAAACAGAACACTGTGTCCTCATGTTCACGGTCTCTCTTGGCTCCAGGATGGGTGATTAAGATCTTGGAGATACTACAGATGAGCAATCCTCTTCACCTGTGCCTCTAAACGCTGCAACAAACTACAGGAGTGTTACCAGTGCCTGACACTTTGTTACCAATGAAAATAAATGAGAGAACAGGAATGAGACGGTTTTATTCGCATCTTTGAACTTGCTGGGACATAGAGGCCACAGTGGTTTGATCTGCGTGGCAATGTTCTTGTGAACGCAAATGCAAAGCCAGACAAAATGAAATTACATCTCACTTCTCTCTGTCTGGAAAATGCATCTTAGGATTAGGGATTTTTCCTAATAAGAAAGCTCAGTTTGAAAAAATTAGCATGTTTCTAAATATAGCTATCATTTTACAAAAGCCTTTTCTTGGGGCTTTCCATATATTTTCTTACCAGCTTGCTGAATGAAAAGAAGCTCTACTTATATTGAATAAACGTTAGTAAACCATGTTGGAAGTAATGTGTGGACCTCAACAAAGAAAAAAAATTCTATAGACCATTTTCTTTGTTAAATAAAAGAGTTGATACATTTTTTAATTAAATTTTGTTACTTTTGTTTTCTTTGGGGGGAGGTAATTAGTTTTATTTATTTATTTATTTTTATTTATTTAATTGAGGTACTGGGGATCAAACCCATGACCTCGTGCATGCTAAGCATGTGCTCTCCCAATGAGCTATATCCTCCTCGCCCAAAAGAGTTGATACTAAAAAAAATTTTTAAGCAATCATTGAGGTATTTGCACTTTTGCCATACTTCTTCATTTCACAATTGGATGAAAGTAACAGTATCTTTCAAAAGAGTCAGTTTTCAGTTTCCTTTTGGTTTTGTTTGCTTTGTGCGTGGTGAAGTCATCAAAGAATTCTTACATCATGAGTCTCTTTTGAAAACTGTAAAAGTCAACAAGTTTGGGGCAGTGGGAAAAAGGTGATTTTATCATAAAATTTTTTACTAAAACAAAAGCTTCTTTTCTCTTTTCACAGATGGAGCCCCTACAGTGCTCAGTAATCATCTGGTTTTGCTACTTTAGTGAACAAAGAAATCTCCTCACAGCCTGGGCACTCACTCATTTTACAACAGACATATGCTAACAACAAGGACCCTTCAAACAACCCTAAAAGAAATTCTATCATCAGCCAGAAAAGCCATAGACTATATCCAAAGTAGATTTCTAAATCATCACATTAAAAATTGTGTGTGTGTGTGGAGAATAAGGCTTCTCTCTCAAGCAGTCCTCTGGCTTTCAAAAGGACAAGCCTTAGTACCTATTCTAATAACAGAAGTATCTTTTTTTTTTTTTAAAGAGAAAGAAAACCTTGAAACATTTTGAAAGAGAGGATTTTATTTATGGCCTGGCTTACCCGAAAGGTTATGAAGGTGTCCAAATCCTCTCTTGAAGTATCTGCAAGGTTAAAATGTGGGAAAGAAATTTGATTTCACTTGCAGAGCTCAAGGCTTAGCTATACAATAATGAATAAAGTGTGTATACACATACTCATCATTGAGGAGAATTTTAAAATAGATGCCTTAGGAACAGTGAGACTCCAGTTGGCGGTTTGGTTGGTTCTGGGAACACTGAGGTACTGTCTGTCCCTGAAATTTTACTATTATATAATTTAGATGAATGGTCCAAGGACAGAACACTGGGGAAGCTCAGCCTTCCACAGGAAACTGCATACAACCGAAGACCCAGGATGGTTGCTCCGTTTCTGCTGTACGTCGCCTTTCTGGTCTGCGTGAGTAAGGGTAAGTCCTGGAGACTGAGGGAGGACTGGCTGTTGGTTAAGAGATGGGAAGATGCTGGGGGAGGAGAAATTTCCAAAACTGGCTCTTGAGGTTTTGGCAGATGCAAGTGAGATTGCGACAAGCAAGACTTCCCCTCTTTTCACAGGTGAATTTCAGGAACATCTGACCGGTATGACCACGGCTAAAGTCTAGTAAAAAGCTTATTTGTGACACGTTTGGGAGTAAAACCACCCCCTCCATCTTCAGGGAGAGCTGTAATCCATTTTTTTTGTTGGGGGAGGTAATTAGGTTTATTTGTTTGTTTGTTTGTTTATTAATGGAGGTACTGGGGATCGAACCCAGGACCTCATGCATGCCAAGCACATACTCTACCCTGAGCTATCCCCTCCCTCCTGTAATTCATTCTTACTCTAGAACCTTGGGAGTTACATCTTCTCCTAGACCAATTTAGTCCATTTCTTTGAGTAAGAAAGCTAAAATCTCCTTCCTGGTTTCCTTTTCCCCATTACAGGATAAAACTGTCAGGCTAGCTAAGACTCTCATTACTCAGGGACCATAGATAAATTTTACAGGAACTCTGACCTTTTGAGATCACACACAATACTGGATTTATGTCTGTACAAGTTATCTCCCACAGGACTATCCAAAGGGTCAGTGTCCCGAGGAAGGCTGGGAACCACTAGACAATAGTAAGTGCCTGTCAGAGGCCCTAGGCCTGGAGAACTTTCTCCATACCACACCCTTTAAGCACCTCTTTCTGTGCCTGGCAGGGCCTTCAGAGATGTGTTATAAATGTAAACAATATCATCTTGGGACGTGCTACGACACCATGAAGTCCTGCTTCCTGAAGTACCATCAGTCCTGTGCGGTTGAGAACATTTACATACTTACAAGAAAAGGTAGTGTGGGGTATAAAGTGACTGAGAAAGGTAGTGTGGGGTATAAAGTGACTGGGGTATAAAGCACCTTTTTTTCCTTAGAGACAGTCACGTTCTTTTGTCCTCGCAGTACATGGGCGAGTGGGATGGAGAAGGATGGGGTGAGTGGTCCTGCAGAGGGGATGGCAAAGATGAACTTTTACTTAAGACAGTATCGAGTGAAGGAGAGGTGGCTCTCCCTTATCAGTCAGGGAATACAATCCATTCTCTGGATCAGTAACTAGCAGATGCCACCTTTTAGCTCATTTGGGTCTAGAGAAGCGTCAGTGAGGCTTTGAAGAGACGTTAGTTCTGGGAATTCAGAAGGAGGAAACAGAGTCATTACAGCCGTATTCCCCTTCTTTCACCTCCTCAGGGCGGAGTATGTATTTTTATTCAAAACTGTCATGCATGACCAACTGTAAGGACATCAACTTCTTAAGTTTTGATAGGAGAACAGAGCTTATCTGTTGCAAACATAAAAACTATTGCAACCTCCCTGAGGGAGTCTAGTTCTGCATCTCTCCTGGATTTTGGATTATTCTTCAACTCACCATCCCTTTACCTTTTCCCCCAAACCTGTATCGTGCTCTCCTTTTCAAATCAATGGCAGAGAGTGAGAAAGCCAGCTGGTAGTGAAAGGAGTAGCTCCGTAAGAAGAAACAGCGGGAGGGAGCTAACTCATCAATGACAGAGCCTGAAGCTTTGCAAATCCCCGTTGCTCACAGGGTTTTGGTTTCCTTATGGTGGTGCTGCCATGAATAGTGTTGGGTTTAGAGCTGATGACTCATTATCTCCTATATGGAAACGTAAAAGCTTGGGTCCAAACGATCCCAGGCTAGCACTGAGAATCTGTCACTACACTCTGTCCTCATCGGTATCCACCCCTCTGGACTGGGATTCTCTCTGGATCATCCCTGACACCTCCTGGCACTCTCCTCTGCCCATGGGTTATGGAGATAAAAGTAACTCCAGTTTCCCATTTGCTGGCAACACGAGCCACATTCTCCCTGGTAGAGCTCTCAGAGGGAATCTCAGGCCAGGCAAAAACCAAACAAACAAAAAACTGGGACAGGCATAGGGATGAGGGATCAAGAAAACATTTCAATCTGTGGAAATTAAGATTTGAGAAACCATTTGGTGTGGGTGGAATTATCATAGCCCTGCCTGGCCAGGTAGCTAGGTAGCACTTGATTGCTCTAGGTGACTGAATTGGAAATGGAGACCTTGTGCAAGAATGGCTAGTCAGTTTCGTTTCATTAGAATGAGAAAAAAAAGTTGATAATAAAAACACAGAGCTGCCATGAGGCATCTACGTGAGTTCTAGCTACATGAGTTCTGACTACAAAGTGTCGTTATGGGTAAACAGAAGGGGTGATACAGCAGAAGGGAAGTGGTGGGAAGAGCTGCGGGCAGACACAGAAGGAAACAAACAGGGAGAGGGAGACGGAGCGGCACCAGCAGGGGAGCAGCACAGCAGTGGAGCAGCACCAGCAGTGGAGCAGCACATCTGTGGCCAAGGCGGTGGAGCTTCCCTGGGTACAGAACCACCCTGGCATTTCCCTCCTTGTGAAGCCGACCAGCTGTTCCTGGTCCTGGGTTTCCATGATCCTTCTTCTCCCTTATTATGCCACATGAAAGTCCTCCAATAAACCAATTACCCCTCTACTTGAATAGTTTGGTGTGCTCTATCTTTGTCTGAGTCTGAAAATATGATCCTTCCTGGGGAATTCTCCTTCGGGATTTTACAGAGCCAGGATGAAGAAAGACATCTAGATAACTTTTTAAAAACAGGCAGGCAGGTTGGAAAAGCCAATGTAACATGGATATTTTAGGTTAGGGAAACAACACATTTTTACTTACAGTTGTTCATGGGCTCTCTCACCTGTTGAATCATGGGGATTGGAGACATCATCTAGGGGGAAAAAAGACATAAAGATCATTGCTTTCCCTTGGGTTTCAAAACAGACTTTAAAAATACTTGTGAATCAATGTTTAGACAAAACTTGACTTTGTTGAACAAGAAATTTATAATTATAAAATCTTTCCTTGTTGTTTCAAGAACAAACATTGGCCTTCTCAGCATCAGAGCATTAAATCTGCATCACGTAGTGGATGATTATGGTTTGATTTTGGTGTCCTACCCAAATCCTCTTTTCTGGTCAGTGCATCTGCCACCCAGCTGCATTCAGTGTTGACTTATGACGGTGCACAGCTATTTACTTCTCTGGAGATTTTCCCTCTGCCAAACGGGAGCTGCCTAGCCCAGATGCTAAGCTCCCAACTACAGCATGGACCTCAGCCAGCAAACGGCCGACTCCTTCCATCAAGTTGGGACCAAGTCTGTGGTACAGTTTTTGTGCCAGAGCTTTTCCATGGGATTTGAATAAAACCAGTCTTTAGACGAGACCATGTTATTGCTAACTTTTTCCCTGACCTCCCTTTCTTTCTTTATTCTCTCCTCTACATTTTAAGCTGAGAAGACCAAGTGTTTTCCACCGTCCTAGGACATGGAACTCTAAAACAAGATGAGGCTGTCAGAAAATGAAGTTACACTGTGAGACCTCTGAGGGATAGGTTATGTAGCGTGTAAATTAACTCCCCATGAATGAGGAGAGTCTTTTTTATTGGGCTTTATTACAGCCTAGATAAAATTGCTCTAATCTTGGACAGTATTTTCTTTTGGTTTACCCCATCTTGGGATATTCTTCCTAGTTTCATTTCCCAACTTGGACAAATGAACAGAATAAGACCTAGGGGAAAATTTCTTTACCCACATGGATAGCACATCAAATATCACTCTTCCAATATGCATAAGATCTTTTTCATATGTGCACATAGTCATACAGGAACTTTTTCTTCACATATCATTTCAAAGGCAGTAATTTGCTTACTAATCTAAGTGTGAATTTGGAGTTGACTGGTAAGGAATTCATAAAACCTTAAGCATTAAATCAAAATGATTTTCACATGTATTAAGGATTTAAGTGTAATAAAACCCTAACTTTTTAATATTGTTGTGACTATTGTTACTTGACCTCTTACTGTATGCTAGATACGTGTTTAGTACTTTTCATACGTAAACTCATTTAATCTTCACAACTTCCTGTGAAATCGCTTGTATTGTAAAACAATTTAATAGATGAAAAACCTGAAGAACAGATTGTTTGCCCAGATACTAATTGGGTAACTTGACAAATATCACACAACTTTCCAGTTATTACTGATGCATAAAAAAATGACCGTGTTCACTAGTATTGTGGGTCAAGAATTCAGAAAGTAGATAGTAGGGATGGCTTGTGTCTGCTCCATGATGTCTGTGACCTCAACAGCTTGGAAGTGATTGAAGCCTGGAGGTGACTGAAGAGATGGAGACGGGAAACACTTGAAGGTGTCTTCACTTACATGTCTTTGCAGTTGACACTCGTATAAGTTGTGGCATCACCTAGAGCTGTTGGTCAGAACACCTACTTATGGGCTCCATGTGACTTGGCCTCTTTACAGCATGGAGGCCTGACTTCTTACACAGCAGCTTAGGGCTCTAAAGGCAAGTGTATATTCTAACAAGGTGCAAGTTGCATCATATTTTATGGCCAAGCCTTGGAAGTCATGCCTCATCACTTCTGCTACATTCTATTGGTTACCAGTGAGTGGCCAGGTTCCACTTTTGACTGGAGAGTAGCAAAGCTACAGAAGAGCTTGTGGTACAGGAGGTATTGTTGCAGCCAACTTTGGAAAATACAATCTGTTACAACTAGTTAATAGCAGAGTTGGAACTGGATCCATTCTCCATGCAATCCCAAAGCTCCCTCTCATTCTACGCTCACTATTATATTCAAGATAGTTAGAAATATTCATATAACCTAGCGATAGAGGAAGCTATTCTAATCATGACATTAATCGCAAAATAGAACAAGATGGATAGATTTGACCACATACAAAAGTAAATGTTTTTTGCATGATAAATCAAAACCATAAAACACCCACACATAATATAAAGATCATTATATTCCTATAGCTGTTGTATCTTTAGTTGAATACTAAAGACAGTAAAGCTCTCTGAAGATCTGTTACCATTTTTCTATTGTTACCAAAGAAAGGGCTGTGGAAATAGGGGGGAAAAAAGAATTTCCCGTCAATTTCGATGACAGCCTATGGCAATATTCTATGCATGCAGAGAAGTCACTTTATTTTGATTTCTTGACAAGCTTACTATGTGGTTCATGGATCGTCTGTGTCAGAGTATGGAGACAGGAACACAGAATGTACACTGACTCACTCAAGGAATGAGTATCTTAGTCAGCATCTGCTAATTACATGCTGTTTCCTGTTGGGCTTCTCATTGCTCTGAAGGGAAGCTAGACCTTAGAGAAGACTCTTTGGACATTGCTGATGGTTCATAAACAGATAACAGATGTACCTAGATGAGACAGATCAGCAAAACTGAAGACAGACTGATCGTGTTTTGAGCTGGTTGCTTTGGGTGAAAATAGTCAATACATTAAATGAATAAAAGGAGGAAAGGCTGAAATTCCAAATAATTAAACACTTATTTATCTAGTAACTTGGATAGTAGTTTTTCTCTTTAAAAATATGTTTCTGAGATTGTGGCTGGCAGAATTCGAAGACTCCCCATCCTCTGGTACACACATCCTAAATAATACTCTTCCCTTGAGTGTGGGCAGGACCTGGAACATGACAGGATATCACTTCTGTGATTAGGTTACTAATAAGTTGACGTCAAGTTAATCAAAATGGAAAAAAAAAGGGACAACGGGGAAAATATTTGTAATAAATTTAGCAGATAAATGGTTCGTGCCTCAATAAACCAAAAACTCTTTCATATAAATGAGAACAAGATGAGCTCTTCAATTAAAAAATAAACAAAGACAACAACAGATAATTCACAGAAGAAATACAAATTTCTGGTGCACATGAAATCATGTCCAATGTCATTTGTAATGTCAGAAATGCAAATTAAGACAAGAAACCACTTAACTTTTGATTATTACATTGCTAAAGATGAAACGATTATACACTGCCAGTGAGAATATAAATCCTTTTCAGGAAGCAAGTGAAAAAATATGAAAATTCTTTAAAAACTGGCATAGATTTGGATCCAAATTTCTACCACAAAAATTTAATTTTGTGATTAGACAAAGGTAGAAAAGGCAAGGTAAAAAATACTACATGTGAGGAAACAAGCTTCATGGCAGAGTTGCTAATAAAAGTCAAAGAGCAGAAACAATCAGGATTGCCTGAATCAAACATGGTCCATCCACACGACGAAATCCCATGCATCTCTAGAAGTGACATCATGGCAATGCAAATTTACTAATTTGAAAACATGCTAAAACATGTTCAGTGGAAGAAAAAGGTTTTCAAATAGTATACATAGTTTGGTCCCATTTTTCTTTAAAATGTATTAATTATCTATTAGTCTATCTACCTTTCTTTCTCTCTCTCGCAATCAACATTTTTATTCACCAAATTTTAACATGCAATTTTTTTAAAAGCATTTTGTTCTCAGAAAAAAAAAGATAAGTTAACACTTCTCAACACATTCTATGAGGCCAATATTATCCTGATATCAAAACCAAACAAAAGTATCACAAGAAAAAATACATAGATATAGATAGGTAGGTAGGTAGGTAGATAGATGATAGGTATGATGCAAAAATCCTCAGAAACTACAAGCAAACTGAAATCAACAACATATAAAAAGGAGTGTATGTATGCTATGAGTTGAATTTATCCCAGGAATACAAGGTTAATTTGACATTTAAAAAAAAATCAAACAATGTAGTGCACCGCATTGATAGAGTAAAGGAAAAAAAACCTTACGAACATCTCAATAGATGCAGGAGAAGCACTGAAAAAAATTAACCCCTTTTCATGATAAAAGTACCCACTAAACTAAAAATAGAAGAGATGATTCTGAATCTGAAAAAAGGACACCTAGAAAAACCCACAGCTGACACACACAAGCTGAAAGACTAAGTACTTCCCACCTAAACTCAGGAACAAAACAAGGATTTCTGTTCTCACCACTTCGACTTAACGTTGTACTGGAGGTTGTAGCTAGACAATGAGGCTGGTAAAAGAAATAAGCATCCAGATTAGAAAAGAAGAAGTAAGTTTATCTCTATTTGCAGATGAAATAACCTTGTATATAGAACATCCTAAGGAATCCACAGAATACAAGATCAATTGTGTTTCTCTATAATAAGAATAAACAATCCGAAAATGAAATTAGAAAACAATTCAGTTTATAGTAACCTCAAAAAGAACAAAATACCTAGGAATAAATTTAACGAAAGAAATAGAATTGTGCAATATTGTGATTTATAATGTAATAGGGAAGAACAAATCTGACTCCGTATTAGATCTGTTCCTTTAGCGCTAAACCCTGTGCTCTGTTTCCTGAGCTAAGTCATGCTGCTTCTGCATCTTTTGTGAAAGAATGTTGCCTATAGCCTGAAAGATACAGGACAGCCCAGTCTCAAGGCTCTGACCTTTAAGGGTGTAACACTTTTCCATTCATATAGAAATACAAAGTTGTAGGACAGAGAATAACATTCGTCTTGTTGGAGGTTTACAGGAACATCATGACCTGATCTAGGTGGACAGCTGCAAGAACAAATGATTCTGTCACTAAGAAATTTGCAACAACCAACAGCACCCCCTCCCCTTTTTAGTATAAAAGGAGCCTGAATTCTGACTTGGGTAAGGTGGTTCTCCAGGACATTAATCTGCTATCTTCTCCATCTACTGGCTTTCCGAATAAAGTTGTTATTCCTTGCCCCAACACCTCATCTCCTGATTTATTGTTGTTGTGCAGCAAGCAGAATGAGTTTGGACTTGGTAACAATAAGAAATATATATATTTGGTCACTCAGATGACCAAAATATGTTTCTAATATATTTTTGGTCTTCCTCCACAGTTTCTGACTTACAGCCCTCCAACCCGTTGGAATTTCCTAAGTGTTGAGAGTGATAAAAGGTGGTTTTTGTTATGTTAATAAGGCGACTTTTGGGAAAGCACCTAAGAATGAGGTTGGTTCCCAAAGGAGCTAACCATGTGATTAGAGGGTTGGAACTTCCAGTCCTACCCCTTGACCTCTGGAGAGGGGAGGGGTGCTGAAGTTTCAACCAATCACCAATGGCCAATTATTTAATCAATCGTGCCTAAGTAATAAAACCTCCAATAAAAACAGGGTTTTTTTTCTTTTTTGGATCCTTTGGAAAGGACAGGGTTCAAAAAGCTTCTGTGAACATATGGTTGAGAGAGTGGTGCATTTGAGAGCATGGAATCTCCATGCCCTTTCCCCATACCTTGCCTTATGCATCAATTTCATCCGACTTTTCCTGAGTTACATCCTTTTATGATAAACTGGTGATCTAGTAGTTAAAAATGTTTCTCTG